CTTGGTGCCTTGGAATCTTACTCTGCCTTTGCATCCGGGCTCTCAAGCTGTGCCCGGCTTCATTAATTAGCTCCAGTCATACTGAATTAATTCTGTCCTCTCCTACTCGGCTGTTCCTCACCTCTCAGCTCTCAGATGACACATTTCTTCTGAAAAGCCCTGTATAACATCTCCAAGGAAGTGGATGGTGACCCTTCTGTGGCTCTGGCTATTTCTCCTGTCCTAGCACTGTACTGTTATTGCCTGTTTTTCTGTCCCTTTCCCTTCTGAAACTTCTTAGGGATAATGACTTTCTTATATACCATGACATCACCAAGCTTGCATAGCTTTCTCCATCTATTAAAGCACTCAAAATATTTACTCAACAAATAAATAAAGCCAATATGAGTTGGCATAATAATTTTTAAAGTTCACTTTTATATTCTAGATTAGAGCCCAGCCTTTCTTCTATTGATGCCTAATTTGAGTTTGCACATTCAATTAACAAATATTAGCTTAGATGCTTAATACCTCCCTGGGGTTGTAAGCCCATGATCCTGGCATCATGATGCTTGCTATATAGCAGGAAACTAATACATAATTTGGGAATGAATTAATTACAACAAAGATTTTGACTTAAAGTAGCCCATGTGGTCAGGACACCTGGAGAAGGGTCTGCTGATTCCGATCTGGTCTGTGGAAATCAAATGTGGCTTAGCCAATCTTGTCAAAGAGAACCTGCAACCTACTGACTCAGTTGTGTGTTTCTAGTGATATCCTTCAACATCACCAGTGTCACAAGTATCTCACACGCATATTTGAGTGTCTACTGTTGATACAGCAGAGTGTAATGGGCTAAGAGTTCAGGCCCTGAACCTAAGCAGCTTTGGTTTGAAACCCAGCCCTACTTTCTTGTGGTCACATGACTTCAGGTAATTAAATGGACCTTGTTATGTAGCAAAACACATATAACAGTGTTGGCAATAATAATATTAGCTCATTGGTTTACTGTGAGATTTAAATGAGTTTGTGCATATACAGTGCTTGGCAGACAGTATGAGCTTAATAAATGTTAGCTCTGATCATTATGATTATTTTGTGCTAGGTGTTGTGCACATAGAGTGAAAATGAAAGTTGTGGCTTCTGTCCTCATGCAGCGTGAGTCTCACTGCCTGTCTCTCTTTATTGTACGATCCATTCTTTACCTTCCTCTCCTTTTCTGTGCAAAGAGGGCTGACTCCTACATGGCATATTTCCCAGGCTTCCTTGCCAATTGGCTTCCTGCTAGGTTTGGCTAGCAGAAGATTCAGGTAAGAGATTGAGGTGGGGAGGCCAAGAGTCTCTCTCTCTCTCTCTCTCTCTCTCTCTCTCTCTCTCTTCCTGGGTAATGTTAAAGAAAATCAGAGTTGGACAGTAAACGTGCTAAGAACAGAATTTGTTCAGGAATTATTCCAATTAGGAAAAAGAGACCTATTTATAGAAATTAACTCAATTCTTAACATAGCATAGACCAGTGAGGATTTATAGCCAAAGAGCAGGTGAGGGGTCAGTGGATGGAAAATTACTGAGAAAACACTAGCCATGAAAGGGAGATACAGATTAGCAGGGTTCTTGCTGAAGGCAAGCTAGGGTAACCAGACACTGAGGAGGAGGAATGAAGAGTTGGGTGAGATACCAAAGGTGATCAGATATCCAGGTTGTTGTTGGTGGTGGTGCTGGTGGGGGTGGGGGTGTTCTCTCTAAACCAACTCAGCAAGATCCTTGCTGGAACTTGGTAGCGCAGCCCCAATAAGGATGGATGCCAAGATGGGGACCCAGAGGGTCTAGAAGATCCTACTGAAGGTTTAGACAAGGAGTTGCTCTTCACCAGTAGAAGCTATTTCTTCTCTATTTTTCTTCTCTCTCTAAACAGCCCATGCTCAGGGCTCCCACTCAGAAGCCCTAATTCCTCTGCCTCCTGCTGGCTCTCTACTTGGGGAGTGACAGTACAGAAGACAATAGAACAAAAGGAAAAGGCAGATTCCTGATGATGGATATCGTTTAATTCCAATCCAACTGTGCCTGAAGATTATATATGACTATACCTCTAAATATATGAGGCAAGCCTATAAAAATTCCTTTCTTTTGCTAAAGCTTCTTTCATTTGCCACTATGCAAGTCCTAATGCAACGTCTGCTAATCCCTGAGAACAGTGTGAGTTAATATCACAATACAAAGCAATTGGTATTCTCACTGGGTATTTGTTGCCAGAATTCTTATAACTGGTATTTATTTTCCTGCTAGGATTAAAGCTATGAAGATGAGTAAGTTAAGCCCAGTCCTTCTTTTTGATAGCACAGTAATAAGTAATTATTTTTTTTCAAAAATATTAACTTTTTATATACTTAGTTCAAAATGTTGTTTTCTCTAGAGATCTGAGCCTCTTCTCTTAGTTAATGTGTTTCCTGAAACTAAAGGACCTCTCATCCATTTTAATACAAGGACATTGACTAAAATGCAAAGCAGAAACTTTAGGGGGAAGTTTTCATTTATTCTCGATAAAGTAAATCCCAAGCCTCTAGTTGTTCTTTATGAAACCTTCCTGAGGCAGGAGGATTTTTCTGTGCAGTGAAATTAACTGTGTCACTACTGCAGGACAATTGCTCGTTCTTCTATGTTTCCTTGGCTCTTTTCTTCCCTATCTGCCTCTGAGGATGCAGTTTGTCCTCTGATAATGGTTGGGACTTTCCTTCATCTCAGTCACTAATATAAGCCCCTGAAGCTTCCTGGAGACATGGTCAAAGTTCATTTCTGTGGGGATTTTTAAAAAGTCTTTCATGTTTGATAAAAGCAAATTTCGAATCATGGTGCAAGTATGAGTGTGTGTATTATGGTGTTGTGAATGTGTGTGCATGTTTTGTACTTAAAATAAATGCATTATACTATAACATTATACTATATAGCAGATAGTATGGAAACAATAACCAAATTTTTTGACCACTGAGGTAGGGAGGGACAGTGGTGGCAAAATAAAAGTGAACATTTAAGAGTAGGGGGCTTTTTTATACTTTAGTGTTTACATCTCAGCAATTTACTCTTCCCGTGTCCACCAAGAATATGGATCATAGCCAGCCTCACATCTAACTAGCATTCCTTTGATTATTATTTTATACTCGTTTATTGTGAATAGTGAGTGAGATTTTGGACTTCCCGATCATATTTGGTATATAATGGTTTACCACTATGTAAAATCATGCTTTTTGGTAATGGAACATACTTAGATGGAGATTAGTGTCCACACAAGACAATGCTTCTATTAAAAGGGCAGATTTGTCTTTTATTTGGAATTTGATGCCTTGAAATTTTCTTTTCACTCTCTCAAGTGCAAGCTGATCAGTCAAATGGAACATACTTAATACATTCTCTGATTAGAAAGGAGCTTTACTAGGATCTCTTTGTCTATGGAGGAGTCTCACTGTAGCTTCTGGTACAGACCTGGCAGTTTTACATTGTTAAAGTTTGGAAGATGCACTGAATGAGAAACACGAGTATCTCGACTTTTTCTGTTCAGACCCCTTGTAAAGCGTGGCTTTGGGGAGGGGCATCATGTCCTGGTGCATAATGAGGGCACGCTGTGTCCAGCAAAGCATTAAGCTCCATGAAAATGGAAATGGGTAAGAATGACTCCTATGCTCAAGAACTTGCTGGGACACACAAGGAAAATGTTGTGACTACTACTCATTAAATGGGAACAGCACAGCAGCCAGGCCAACAAATGCAGCTAAGTATGAGTCTGATGGAATGGACCAGAAGCTTGTCTTGTCAAGAAAAACTTGACAAGACCCGCTGAAAGGGTAGACCTAGATAAAGATGGAAGGCTATGTTTAGTGATGGTGATCTTCAGAATTTATAAATGTACTGATTGCATCTATTCTCTTGAATGTGTCAAATCTTATAATAAAAATAGAGACAAGCTCAAGCAAATGATGTGAGCAAAGGTACAGATGGCACAAAATTCCGTGTTTAGGGACATTGAGAAGATTGACTACCCTGGAAGTGCAGAGGGTTCCAGTAAATGTGTTGCAGGCATGAAGGAGCTTAGGAGGGTGTGAGGGATATGGATGACAGGTCAGGAAATCTGGGGTTTTGTAGATGCCTGATGACACTGAGGGCAACATGGTTTAAACTCTAATAATTTGGGGTCAGGTGAAGTCCATAAAATGGTGATAAACAGGAAATTGTTACTGGCTTCTTAGTGAAAAGTAATCAATTAGTAAATGTGAATGGAGTTTGGTTGTAAAGAAGACCAATATGAAACAAAAACAAATGTGAAAGACCCTTGGGGACTTGCAGGTCATGTTGAGCTCTTCCAAAACTCCTTCCTTAGGTTTCCATCCCTGGGTTATTGTCATGTCTGGCCTTTCATTGTGGATATGAGTTGAAAAGAATAGGGTTTTAAAACCTAGCTTTTTGCTTATGCAATCGTATAACTTCATATACAATAGGTCAAATATTTTGTCCTCATTTTGGAACTTTGAGTGAGTTCCAGATGATTCATCTTGAGAAACTGGCCACCTTGATGTTCGCAGGGATGAAGGCATGGTCTCCTCACTTCTCCTGTTCATCAGTGAAACTGTGGAGCTGAACCTAGAATTGTCAACTCTGAGGGTTTTTTTTTTTAACTCAAAGAGTCAAAATTCTCAAAATCAGAGCATACCAAGAGTGTCCAGGGACTGGACATAAAGTGGGACTGGACATATTCTACTACTTTTGGTATCAGTAGTAGAATAACTTACAGGTTTTGTTTCTGTGTGTTTTCAAAATTCAAGTAGTACACATATGAAGACACGAATGTTGTGAATATACTTTGTATACAACCAGAGATATGAAAGATTGTGCTCTATGTGTGGAATATGAATTGTAATGCATTCTGCTGTCATATATAACAAATGAGAATAAAATTTAAAAAAAAAATATTAAAAATCCAAGTATATTTTAAAAATAAACAGTCTCTTCATCTTTTCTTATTTTTTTTTCCAAAGGACCTTCTTAAGAAATGCTACTCTGCCAAGGCATCCTATCTCTTCCAGCAGGATAAATTCTATGATGTCAGCTATGACACAGGGGACAAGTCCATCCAATGTAGCAGGAGACCAGATGCATTCAAGTTCTGGATGACCTGGAAGGCCCTGGGCACATTAGGCCTTGAAGAAAGAGTTAATCGTGCTCTTGCTTTATCTAGGTGAGTGTGTGTCTCTCTGTGACTCTGTGTGTGTCTGTCTGTCCACGTGTCTCTGTAATAGGAAGACCAAATGAAGTAACATTTGTAACCCTGGCAAGATCTCTACATGTTCTTTTATTTGTGAATTTCTCCTTTCATGCAATAAACATTTTTCTTAACACCTACTATATGTTAGGAATTGTGAGCACAGCAGTCTTATCAACTGCCTTCCAAGATCCTAATGAGAGATGCTTTCAGATGAGAAGGCAGATAAAATACAAGTGACTCTCCTTTTTGGTAAAAGAGGTGCATGGGTCTCCAAGAGAACCCAGGAGAGTACCCTAGTGAGTTCTCAAGGGACATTGGCTGAGGCTTCTTAGAGGAAGACATTTAAATGGGACCTGATGAGGAAGAGTGAAGAATGATCCAGGCAGAGGGAGCACCAGCCCAAATCTCTGGATATGTGGAAATTCGGAAATCGAGTGTAGCTTTAAGGACTCACAAAGCAGGTACACGAGAATATGGAGACAGTGTAAAGGCATAAAGAAAAAGGTACTGCAGAAGCACCATGTTTGCTTGCCTTTTAGTATCATGGAAAATAAAGTTTTTGTCATGACTTTCAAGGACATTAGAAAAGCTCTTGAGATACAGGTGCCAGACACTTGCCATCTGAGCAAGACTGACCTGCTAAACTTAAATCAGTGGGTGCAAAAAGACAGACCACAGCTGAATTTAGATTTAAATGTGTTCTGTTGAACATTCACTGCATAGGGTTGACCTTCATGGTGTTAAAAAGTATTTAGACATTTAAAATACTTTAAAATAGATTTCTCCCAAATCTGGACTTTGGGTCTCTATCAAAAGGTTGGACTCTTAATCCTACATTGTTTCAGTAATGAACATGATGAGGCCTTAACCTATGGAGAACAATAGTCCTCAGCATTGCCTACTGATTTTTTTTTTTAAATCCAACCAATTTACTATAGTATAGCGGTACAAAGTGGATTCAAAACTTAGCATTGACTATGTGACTTGAGCATGTTTCTTTATCTCTGTAGTCCTCAGTTTTATCTCAGTAAAATAGTAACAATAAGAGCAAATATTTATTATTGCAGAGATTAATTATGTAAAACATAATTATGCAAATCACTTGGAACGATGCCTGGCATATGCTGCATGCTAAATAAGTTGTGGCTATTCTTACCTGCTTGGCCACTGATTTGCCCTGAAAACTCCCTATTCACTCGCAAAATCCCGAAGAATCTCCTTAGATATTTATAAATTTCCTCTTCTAATTCTGGGAATGAAATGAGTATTTTGTGCATCAAATTCTGAAACCTAGTATCTTAAACAGGAATTATTCATTCTTTGGGATCTGCAGGTTAGCTGGAGTGGCTCCCCTTTATACTGTGGTGACTGCAGTATTGAGGTCTACTCTCTACACTTCTACTCTCTACATTTCTTTCATCTTCCTTGGACCAACAGGCATGCTGAGACATCTTTTTGTTATAGCCATAACAAGCCCAAGATGGCAAGCCCATACATGCAAGCTCACTTTAAACTTCTGATTGCATTATATCTACCAGCATTTCATTGACCAAAGCAACTGGCCAAGACCAACTTTCAGAGGTAATAGGTAGCCTCTGCCTTTTGGCAGGAAGAACTGCAAACTCTGTGGAAAAGGACTTGGATATTAAGACTGGTAAAGAGATGACTTTGGCACTTTCAAAAGACTTTTATAAGTTGATATGATATGTTACATTGCATTATATTATTAGGACTCTTTTTGTGGTAAAAGAAAACCTCTCAAGCTATTATAAGCAAAGAAAAGTAAATTATCACCTGAAGTGATTTATAAGGTTAGACTAATGATGGTTTAGACCAGGGGTTTAAAGAATATCACCTGGCCTGAATCTTTCTATATCTTTCAGCCCTGCTTTCCTTCATGTTGGGTTTATTTCCATGTAGGAAGGTGGCTGTCAGGAGTCAGATATATTTTCTTCCAGGTTCAAGGTCAAGGTCAGAAGGAGAGTATGCTCCTCTTCCAAAAATCTTAAGGATAATTTATTTGTGAGTGAGGGAAATGTCCATCTTGGAGTCAGTCACTGTTCTCAGGGAAATATGATGCACGCATTGGTCAATACTGTCTTTGCTTAGTACCAGGAGAGTATCAAATACTTCTATAAGGGATGTACTGAAACTGGGTGAAGAATGTGCTTTCAGTAGAGGTAAGGTTAAAGTGTTTCTATTAAAAGTAGGGAGATAACTACCCAGTTGTGAAAAAAAGCAAGTCTACTATAAATATTCATAGATGCCCATTAAATTAAAGTCCAGGAAGCTCTGTTTCCTGCTTTGTATTTTCTTCTAGCATTTAAATGTGTTAGAATCTCTGCATTATTTTGTCAAAGCTGCTAAGTAAGTCAATGACAGGTGTCTTGAAATAAGGCTAGGTATAAATATTTGATGGTCGTATTTATTATGAAGTTAACATTCATCTCAGGGTAGAATTTATAGTCTGAGGATACTTTCTAATTTTTGCAGAGAAATATCACAGGAGGATAAATGTTAACATTTCAATTCAATTCAACAAACACTTATTGTTTGTAAATGTTTGTCAAGTTGGATTGAATTGAATTAACATTTCAGTGAGCATCATTGCAGACTCTGTGACCTATATTTAAATATTTGAAAAAGAGTCCCTCTTTTTTTCCTGCTGTTACTCATAGTAGTTACTATTTTTTTTTTTGCCTTAACTTTCCATACTGTTGATATCCAACAGTGTATTCCTGGGGTCCATAAAGGTCACCTTGTTTTCCCACCCCTCAATGCCAAGGAAAAGGACAGTCTTTGTAGGCATGTGGAAAGGGAATCCACTTGGGAATTAATGTATAACTATAAACTTAAAGTTTCTTTAGATCATATTAAACTAACAATAGAAGATTCTATTTTATGTCTTCTTTTCAAATTCACTGATAGCTTTATTACCCTACTTTTTAGGAATATTAGAATATTTTCTCAATTCTGGGATCTATTCTGTTTGCTTGAGCTTATATGCAGTGTTGTGCTGCTAAAAGAAAAAAAAAATGTTTGTAGTGTCTGCCAATTTCCATGGTGTAAACATTTTTTTTAATATTTATTTTTTAGTTTTAGGCAGACACAATATCTTTATTTTACATTTATGTGGTGCTGAGGATCAACCCTGTGTCCCTTCATGCCAGGTGAGCACTCTACTGCTGAGCCACAACCCCAACCCCCATGGTATAAATATTTTAATCATGGTAAACTGAAAGCTACTCACAGCTGTGAGTTGTATAACTCTGGATTATTTAGCAACTGGCTCTCACCTGCCACAGTAAACTAACTCTCTCCTTCTTCCCTGGGAAAGCAAGAGCAGATATTTTAGCTCTAGAATACTGTTGATTATGTGAGCTGCAGAGTTCAAACCACTGAAGGATTAGAGTTAAAATAAATTTGTCCTCAAGTCTACTGACCAATGGGAATTTGCTTCAGAGTTTAACAAATAAAAATAATTCCCATCCGTGGTCAGAAAACTCTACCTGGCATAATTTCTAAGACTAACTCTGATTTATTTCCAAAAAGTATAAAATTCTTCCATAGATAACAGTCTGGCACAGTAAGGCCAGCTCGAAATCTGTATATTGACTTTAAGATTTAAAGACCGGATTTTGATAGACATAATCCCTGGCCTGGCCATGAGAGGTGGTACATACCTGTAATCCCAGTGACTCTGGAGGCTGAGGCAAGAAAACCTGAAATTTGAGGCCAACCTGGGCAATTTAGTGAAACCCTGTCTCAAAAAAATAAAAATAAAAATAACCAGGATGTAACTTTGTGGAAAAGGGCCTCTCTGGGTTGGGATTATAGCTCAGTGGTAAAGCACTTGCCTGGCACATGCAAGGCCCTCAGTTTGATCCTCAGCACCACATAAAAATAAATGAGTAAGGGTATTGTCTACAACTTAAAAAAATGTTTTGTTTTTTTTTAAAGTTGTAACATTTAATTAAAAAGAAAGAAAGAAAAGGGCCTCTGGGGTTAAATCCCCAATACCAAATAAATAAATAAATCAGAGTGAGTACTGCTGTCCTAACCAGATAGCTTTCTCCCTCTTCTCTGGTAAAGCAAAGATTTTAGGAAGACAATGATTCTGAAGTTATGGGTTGTCAGAAATCCAGCAAGAAGGAAAAAAATGAGCCTAAAATATATCTCAGGATTTTCCCAATTTCCATTTGACCCTGTCATTCCAATTGAGGAGAAAATATTTCTCTCATGAAATATTAATTATTAAAATGCTTTATCCAGCCAGGTGCGGTGGCACACACCTGTAATCCCAGCATCTCAGGAGGCTGAGGACAGAGGATCATGAGTTCAAAGCCAGCTTCAGCATTAGCGAGGCACTTAGCAACTCAGTGAGAATCTGTCTCTAAATTAAATACAAAATAGGGCTGGGGATGTGGCTCAGTGGTGGAGTGCCCTGAGTTCAATCCCCAGTACCTTCTCCCCACCAAAGAAAAGCTTTTTTCATTTTGTTATTGGAATATCAGTAATACTGGGAGCCTAAAACAACGTTGTTATTGGAATATCAGTAATACTGGGAGCCTAAAACAACGTGATCATTAAGCATAATTGAAACCAAGAGGGCTGGGGTTTAAAACCACCTTTTTTTTTTTTTTTTTAGCACAAAGCATGTGATCACGCATTCCTGATCTCTGCCCAGCAGAGGTGTCAGTGTTTTACAGTGGGGCAGGGGGTGGAGATAGTTACCTGTTACCTGCTTACCACCTATCTACCCACCTCTCCATCCTGATTGCACCTTTGTTGTGGCAATCGGGTTAAATGGATTCTCACTAAAGGGTGATTTTTAAAGCAGGCTCAGAAGAGTCATGTGTGTGAGTCTTTTCAACAACAACACATGGCTCAGAAACTCCCCTTCTGCTACTTTATTTGGTCTCTAGCGTGTCATTTATCTAGTCCCTTGACATACAATCTCTGCAATCTCTCAG